TGTTCCTGAGTAAATCGGTTTGGCTGAGATCAAAGTTATAGTTTTTGCACTGCTGAATAAATGTCAAGCTGATTATCAGAAGTGTGAGATGCTCAAGAATATACTCCGGCGTCCCGTTATATTTTAGATAGCAAGGAGTTTATTAAACTTCACCAAAACAATCTGCAAATTTCATTAAAACTTAATAAACTATTATCTTGTCTTTATTTTTAGTTAGCACATACCTTAAACACTTCAAGCTGTAAGCTAATGATAGTTATATAAGAGCAGATGCATGCTGGTGCAATAAGCTGTACGTTTTACGTCCAATGGATGCATGATCTGATTAGTCGACTAATCGCAAAAATAATCGGTGACTAGTCGACTATCAAAATAATCGTTTGTGGCAGCCCTAGTGTGTACCTAATAAGTCCCTAAATTTGTTTTGTTTAGCACTTTAGTACAGTGATGCAATAAAAGTCAAGCACGGTACAAAAAAATCATTAGCACATAATTTACTGAGTAGAGCGTATAATGTCAGATGCCTTAATGAAGTCTTTATTATGTATTAGGGATTTAGCTACACAGGGGAAACACAGTGACGGATCACTGGATGGAAGTAGCTAGGGGATAGTAGTATCCCAAAATAACCCCGTTAAGCTTTAAAGTCTTACTACAGATTGTGTGATTGAGCTGCTTGTCCCTTTGCTTTCTACATCCTGTTAATCTTCATTCGAGCACGATGAAGCAAACTAGAGCATGCCTTATTAAAATCCTGGCACAGACGAGAGGAAGAGACCCTGAATTGACAGGAAGTTATGTAAGGTTAATCTTTTGTTTTCCAGTGAAATGCATTTTTATGATCCTGTTTTGATGTGCAGGCACAATGATTTGTATGCTTTGTGACTTCAGACAGATTGAGAAGAGAAATATTTTTTTTATTTTTGTTGGAAGTTTATGCAAAAAAGTGTAAACAAAGTAAGGATAAGTAACAAGTATCACATGTTGTTCTCTGTGCCATAAACCTGACAAAGGACACATAAACACAAAGTTTATATATAAAAATACACTCACTGGACACTTTGTTAGGTAAAGTACACTTTGCTGGTGCCAGGCAGGACCTCCTTATATCTTTAGAAGTGCCTTAATTCTTCCTTGTGTAGATTTAGCTGGAAATGTTTCTCTGTGGTTTGTTGTGGATGGATTGATGTCTGGTGACTGTGCAGGCCATTTGAAGACAGTGAGCTCATTGTTATGCTTAAGAAACCAGTTTGAGATGGTTTGAGCTTTGTATCCTGCTGGAGGAAGCCATCAGAAGATGGGTATGCTGTGGTCATAAAGAGATGGATATGGTCAGCAGCAATACTTAGGCAGGCTGCTGCATATAAATGATGCTTAATTGGTAGTAATGGGTGGCCTAGAGTGTTCCAAAAAACATATCCCCCATATCATTACATCACCACCACCAGCCTGAACTGTATACTATAATACTGTACTACTATATAATAGAGGCCAGGATGGATCCGTGCTTTCATGTTGCTTAAATTCTGGCCCTAACATCGCAATGTTGCAGCAGAGACTCATCAGAGCAGTGGATGTTTTTCCCAATTTGCTTTTGTCCAGTTTTGGTGTGCAAACTGGACCAGAGTGTTCAGAGGTGATCTTCTGCATACCTTGGTTGCAATGAGTGCTTAATTGAGTTATTCTTGCCTTCATCGCCTCGAGGGAGTCTAGCCATTCTCCTCTGACCTCTCACATCGATGAGTCATTTTCACTCAGAGAACTCACTTTTCACTTTTACAGATCATTCTCTGTGACAGTTGTGAGGGGAAATCCCAGTAGATGAGCAGTTTCTTAAGTGCACCACGTTGTTGCCTGCCTCCTAACTTATGGGTCTATTATTGCAGTCCTCTCTTTTCAATTACTGTCATCTCAGGTTTTGTTTATTTTTAAGAAAACTATAGTTTTAGCCTTGTGAAGGAGAATGAGTGAGGCGAGTTAAGTTTCACATGTACACAAAGCATTTCAGACTGGAAATAACAAGTGAAACGCATTGTTAAGTTAAGATACGGCGATGGAGGTTATTTCAGTCCTTTAATCACACATTTAGCTGCATGTCGTTAGATTGTGGGTGAAAACGGAAGACAAGAGAGTACTTGTCCCGGCATGCGTTTGACCAGTGGAAGGGTAAATCAGGACATGCTGCTGGTGGCACTGTGGGAGGAACTGGAGTGCTCACAGTATGCTGACATTATGAAACTTTTGGCACGGTGACACAGGCAGGGTTGCTCAGTGTCGGTCCACCGGTTTGGTTCGGAACGAAAATCTCAGCAAAGACTCTGATGGTCCCCCGGCTTAACCTGTACTGTCAGCATGAGGTTGACATTTCTGGTTTTGAGTGAAGCGTCTCAGTAAGCGAGACAGACTGTTATTAGATCGGGTTTAGGGTTTCGGGTTTTCAGCGGCTTTTTGTCCAGTCCCGCCAAAAGGTCAGATTTGTCATTTGGCTAAAGCTAATGATCTTTTTATTTGTCTCAGGTTTGTCCTATTATTACTTGTCGTCCTCAGCCTCATCTGACACTGACTTAAATGAGGAAGTTTGTCCTTAATGAGGAAGCTGTCTTTTAGTTTTGATCAATGTAACCACTCTTTGATGGGATGCACCGGTACATTGGTTACAGTGATGTTTTCTGTTAAACTCATGTGTTCCTTAGTTGTATTTTTATGGCATGTTAGACAACTTTAGCTTGTTTCCTTTAGCTAATTCTGTGTTTCACAGCCTTTAGATGCCTATAAAGGAACGCTGGGATTCGATATTCGGATATTCTTCTGGAATGCTGATGGCATTTTCCAAAAGATAGACTGGTGAATAGATGGTGCTTTTTTAAAAGCTCTGTTCTGTTATCCCAAACATAACCTACTTCTGCGGTCTCCCCAAAAGAGACAAACAACATTAAGTACAGTTCCTGTAAGTGACACGTGAAGCTGCAAACCAGACTTTCATGAATGTCACACCACTTGGCATCTTCCCTGTTGCAAAAAACATATTTTATACCAGTTTGTTATTGTTCAACCTCACAGCCACAGTTTGTGTGGGACCTTAGAAATTGGCAGAATGAAAGGGCAAGTGCTGCCATCATGTTATATTTTTATTTTTCAGGCATTCAGTAATTTGAAGGCCAGGAAAGGCAAATATTCAAAGGAGGTTCCAATAAAAACTGAAAATAACATTTTTCAGTTTGGTGATTTAAAAAAGCAAAATGAAAAAATGAAAAAATATTTTTGTTTCCTCCTAAAACACATTTTGAGGTTGTTGAAAGCATATTCTACTCTGAGACACTGAAATATTCTGCTGCTTCTCTTTTAAATGTATAAAGTGGAGCTGAATTAGGTCATTAGTTAGTTGCTATTTCTTATAAGCAAAATGCTGAAAAAGACTTGGTGTAAAAACTTGATGATTCTGTCAGAGTAATTATACTTTGCATTTTTTCATTATTTCTCTTTTCTCATCTGACCTCTGGCTCTTTGTTAGATTGGTTTTCTTCCTCTGTATCTAATAGGACCGTCTCTGTTAGGACGAACTCTAACATCGCTTCCTTAACCTGTGGAGTTCCACAAGGTTCAGTTCTGGGTCCCTTATTATTTTTCTATCTATGTTGTTTCTTCATCTGCCATCATTCATCCTTTTCTGACATTTCTATGCCATTGACATTAAGCTGCATATGTATTTTAAGCCTCACCAGCTGAATAGGCTGTCAACCCTGGACCACTGTTTAACCCAGATTAATGGCCGTCTAGCCATTACCTTCTTCTAAACGTCAACTGAGAACACAATAATAGCTCCCCCTGAACCTTTTGCTTCTTTAGGTTCAGAGTTCGGGATGTCTGATTATAGTCTGGGCTTTGATTCACCTGTAAAATGTATTTCTTGTTCCTGTTACTTTTTATTTAAAGAAGATTTCTAAATTAGGATAGTTGGTCTCCTTTGCTGAACTGGAGAAAATTGTTGATGCTTGTGTGTTATCGTACTGTTGTAAAGCCCTTTATAGATAGATCATCTGTTTTATGCCTCTAAGCAATAAAAAAGTTATTTTTAACAAAATGTTGCTATTAAAATATTCTAGTTAGCGAGCTCACATTAATTTTTACACGGGTCCCAGTAAATAGCCAGGCTTCAAATTATTTATCCCAGCTTCACACTAATCACACTGAGTCTCACAATCTTCGATGACAGGCTCTGAATTTGTTAGTTGTTCTTCGCAAGATGAAAAGACTTCTGGGACAGAGCCCTTCAGTCTGTTGAGACTTTTATTGATTAGAACTTTTGAAACTACCTGTTTACTTTATTATTAAACATTGTTTTTATTATTGGGGAGCACGGTGGTGCAGTGGAGTTTGACTCCACCAACTGGTTAGAGCCGTTCTGTGTGGCGTGTGCATGTTGTTCCCGTGTTTGCGTGGGTTACTTTAATCTTTTTAATGTTTGTTTTCAGTTTAGTTTCAGGTTTAGGTTTTGTTGTCTGAAAATTAGTAAAATTGGTAAATTTGGTAAATTAGTTTCAGTTCGTTTTGTTTTCTTTACAGTATGTTGGATAGGTCTCTCGGGCAAGATTGCAAATTTCCTCTGAGTGATGACATGTTCCAGGCTAGTTTTATGAGGCTAGGACAAGAATTAATATCTTAACATTAACAGATTAGGTTGTTTCATGGAGGCAGGCTCAGCCTAATTTGATCAGGACCTTGAATTGACCACAATAATCTACATCTAATTTAACATAATATTAGAAGATGCACAGTAATAAACTGACATCTTTAAACTTAGAAGCAAAAAAATACTTATTTGTAGATTTTTGCAGGTGTAATGTCTCACATAGTAAGGAATTGTAAGTTACCACTATATAACGTTCTTTGGCATGTTCATTGCCACTTTAGTATGAATTTCACTTTTTTTTTTTGCATGCAAACAGTAAATCCTGAGCACTGGGGGAAAACAATCTCTATTCCCTTCTCTGTTGTTGCAGCTACACATCGCAGCAGCAAATGGCTACGCGCAGGCTGCAGAGCTGCTGCTGGAGGGGGGGGCTCGTGTGGACCTCAGAGATTCAGATGGATGGCAGCCTCTTCATGCTGCAGCGTGCTGGGGTCAGGTAAGGAAAACACAACAGGAAAGAGATAAGAGCCTCGGGCGCACACAAAGGTTTCTGGAACCATTAATACAAATTGCTTCCACTGTTGTTGTTGCTGCTGCTTTAGATGCATGTGGCAGAGCTGCTGGTGTCTCACGGAGCCAGTCTCAATGCCAAGACCTTCCTGGAGGAGACTCCAATTGGTATGTTTACAGTATACTGTAGCGCTCACTTGTCCGGTGCACCTGGTAATGAGTTCAGGGGAAGAAAAGTATCGTCTCAGCAGGGTCTGATTTCCAAGTGTTCACTTTTATGTTAAGCATTACTAACAGTGTCCCTTTTACCCATGTTGCTTTAAGATCTGTGTGAGGACGAGGAGTTCAGAGCCATCCTGCTGGACCTGAAACACAAACACGACATTATCATGAAGTCACAGCTCAAGCACAAGACCTCGCTGTGCAGGCGAACGTCCAGTGCAGGCAGTCGTGGGTATGTGCTGACATCTGTTGGTGTAGCGTGGCTACTACAGGCTTTGTTATTTGGAGAAATTAGAAAACAGACAAAACATCTGTTCTGTATACTTACAGCTGTATTTACATTTAATAGGAGAATGGTTGATAGAAGTCACCGCTGATATAATGACATAATGAAGCTGTCAGTTTAGCGTGTGTATAAGTTCTTCTGCTCTTTAACTTTCATGTGTAAAAGTACCATATATGGTAAGCTGTTATTTTTCTAGCTGCTTTTTCTTACTGGGAATTCCACTCGTGTTCACAGAAAAGTGGTGCGGCGAGCCAGTTTGTCGGACAGACACAACCTGTGTCGTAAAGAGTACGAGACCGAGGCCATCGTGTGGAGGAAAGAAAAGGAAGACGAGGACGAGAAAGAAAAGGAGTCCGATCAGGAGAATAGCCAAGTAGTTAACGTGAGACTATTTTTAAGGATTACATAAATAGCTCTATGCAGTTCTAACTTTGGTTTTTTGGGTGGGTGGCGGGTGGCTTGGTGGAATTTACCGCCCCCTCACACACACGCTGTCAGATGATAATGTGTGTGTGAGATATTTTTAAGCACAGGTAGAAAGATGATTCTTCCCACTCAGAAGCCAAAATGTCACATTTGGATGAATCAGACAGAGGACTTCCTCCAGCACCCAGGAGCAATCACACAAAAGGGAACCCACAACAGAAACAAACTGAAATACTGTCTTCCATTATCAGTAGACTCTGTTGCCGCTGCTGCTTATTGTAACCTCAACTTTTTACACACATTATCTGCAGATTATCAGATGTCATTCAGAGAAATGTTGCTCTGGCACAAAATAACTCTGAACAGTTGAGAGATTTTCTCTATAATGAAGCAAATAAATTGGCTTTACATCTTATTTCATTTGAACTTGGTAAGCCTCGGCAGCAGATCAAAGTTCGCTGATCTGCCCTGCACAGTCAGGCCTTTGTGTATTTAATAAGCTAAAAGAAAGTCTTACAGAGGATTAAAGTAATCCTTATTGATGTCTTGCAGGTCAAGCCTGTTGTCGCTGTGGAGCTGCCCGACAAGTCCAACCTACCCACCATCCTCAAAGAAGGCAACAGCAAGCAGAACGGCCTAATCTCCACGACAACATCCATGCCACCTCCGCCTCCCTCCAACGGCAGCACACCGACGTCCAGTAAGGGTGGGGTTGTCACCACCCAGCCGTCCCAGGAGGAAGCCTGGCCAAAAGAGCGCCCTCAGACTCTGTCGGAGCTGAAAAAGCAGCGAGCCGCTGCCAAGCTCTTGAACCACCCCTTGTTCAACGGTCACCTTGGTAACGGCTCCACAGACTCCTTCACCGATGCCAAAACCACCTCTGAGGATCCTCGCATGCCGCTGGTCTCCTCCAATGGCAACGCCGTATATTATACCCCAGCCAGCGGCGACCCACCCCTGCTCAAATTCAAGCAGCCTATGGAGGAGGAGCAGCCGAAGGTGCGGACCTGCTGCTGCGTGTCATAGTCTGTGCGTGGTCATGTGACTGTTACCAGAACAGGAAGTGTTTGCACTGAGAGGAGGGAAGCAAGGAAGGCTCTGTAGAAGGGAGGAGAAGAAAGAAGGAAAGTCTTTGAACATCCTTCACCACTCCCGGTTCAAAAATGTCTCCAAGACAGGCGTCCCGATTAAAGTATGAAAACATTTCCTTTCACCTCCCAGTCTCGTAACTCCTTTAAAGTGCAGCTGAGAAGTGGAGGAAATTCCTTTCGTACATGGAGTCTCTTTACGCAACAAATGTAAAGACACAAGAAGTCCTGCTCTCTCTGTTAAAAATCAGAGAGGATGGGGAGTGTTTTTTGACAGAAATTTAGAATTAGGAGAGAAGATCGCAAGGTACTGAATCCTCTACTTTCACACATGGAAGAAACTTTGTCTGTTACCCCACAAACAGATTGGTATCATTTCATTAGAACAGCATTTCTTCCAGGATAAACTAATCTTGTTATCAAACCACATGTGGCACATTCTTGTCATGTTCAAACAAGCAGGACAGTCATCCTGGAAGGGTGCTGATATATTGTAATACACCTTGTTGTTGTAGTACAACACATGAGAAAATGCAAAACGTGGTAAAAGGAGATCTGTGACATCTCTTTCCGTGTTGACATGCTGCCTGAAAAAGTAAGGGAAAGGAATGCCATACAACAGTGTTAAAATACTCATGAAGTGTACTTCTACAGCGAGAGATAACCGGAAGGAAGTAAAAGTACTGCACTAGTGTTTGAAACGGTCACTATATTCCCGTCAACTATGCGTCACCTCACCGTCCTCTCACGTGGAACCTAAACTGACAGGTCGTGCTTTGTTTTATGCATTATTCACTTTGTGCTCACTCGTATAGATAATTTAAGCAAACATGGTTGAAAATTACTGTACATGTTTTATTTATGAAATGTAAATTGTAAAGAAAAACAAAAAAAAAACAAAGAAAAAACATGGTTTCTAAAGTCGAGTGTATTTATTATTTGGATGGTGTGTGGAGAGTGTGCGTGAGTCGGTGGGGGGGAGGCGAATCTCCCCAGCTGAGCACCTTCTGACATGGAAGAACGGTTCAAATGAAATGAGGGTTACTGTCTGCGTTATGTATGTGTAATTAAAAAAACCCAAGCCATCGTACTGGATGGATTCATGAATATGTCACTACAAATAACAGTGTTATTTGTTTATGTTTTGTTTTTGTTTTGTTCCTGGTGGCCATTGTGTGGCTTTACTTCCCCCGAGTCACTGTATTTGTCTTCTAAACTGAAACTGTATGTTATGTAACGATTACTGTAAATGAAAAATGAGTTTTCAGAAGAATGCTTGAGGCCTCAGTATCTTTGGTATGTAGCGAGCCCAGGCTGTTATATCAGGTAATGTGTCATGCCCCCTTCCCCCAAAGAAAAACAGTACTACATGTAGTTTGTCTGCTGAATTAAACGAATATTTCATCAGTTTAGAAACAGTTGATGAGAGGAGCTAGAGCCAGCAGTCAGCATATAAACACCCAGACTCTGATTTTTGCTATCAGACGTTGTTGTAGTCTGATAGCAAATAGAGAAATATTGAGCAGTTTGCACCTCAGCGAGCAAAGGGTCTGAGAGCAAAGGAGGAATGCACTGACGTGAATGCAGTGGCAAAACAATGAGCTATTGTTTGAAGACTTTTTTAAATCTCTGCAGGATTGTCAGATTATAAATGACAGACTTGTGTAACAGGAAATCTCGACTCTGATATCAGTTGTCTGGATTTTTACTAGCTACACTGAAAGTCTTCAAAAACTGGTCATTGCCACATCATTAGATGATAGCTGGTGCGCTCACAGTGACACTTGTCTTAGTTTAAAACAAGCACATGCAGAACCGTGAACCACGGTGTGTCGTGAGCAGGCTTACCTAAATGCAATAAAGCCATTAACACTGCAGGTGTCGTTTTCCTGCCTTGACATGGCAGGAAAAAAGCGAAAAACATTAGTGAGACCTTGTTTTCTTCTCAGAGCAAGATGTTTCTCTTTGTTTTGAGTCTTCATGGTAAGTTAAGGCAAGTAGTTTCTATTTGTCGAGACTAAGAAGGAGTTTAGTATCAACCTTGTCATCAAACCTGCAGCAAGGAAGCCAGTCAGGCTACACCCGGGAATGCGAAACTATTCCTTAAATTTAACAGCTCCTTTAAATGTGTTTGTGCCAAAGAGTCTTCCATGAGTTGAAAATAATTTAGTTTGGCGGGAAGCTTTCTGATGGCCGACTTCTTTGAAAATGTGATTACCTGTAAAGCCACGCCATCACCCTTCTTCCTCACCGCATCACCTGTACAGCGTTCGAGTATTTGTACAGACAGGTTTGTAAATATGTTTGTATCAGTACTCCCCCTGTTATGTTCCCATGTTTTTGCATTTACATGTCTGTGTTGTTACTGTTGATGAACATATAGGAAACTACAGTTAACCATATGGGTGAATAGTGTTAGCAGGCATTTGGTTGTACAAAGGGGCGGGAACTGTGCGATTAAGTAGACCCTCAAGTAGTCCCAGGAGTCCAAAATGTCTGCAGAGTCGTGCGCATACCCAGATATCGCTGAGTGTTAAGACACCAGTGTCTGTGGTGCATTTAAAACTGAATGATGGAACCTTAGTGCATGATTTTTTTCTGCAATGGTCAGTTTGTTTTTCACCTCAACTTGAGGAAGTAAAAATGAAGTCAAACAGTTTGCCATTTCCCTTATTTTAGGTACAGCGACGTCATCTTGTTATGAGGCAGCTTACTTCGGGTAGCTGCAAACAAGTTGATTTAAAAAAAAAAAAAGTTCAACCCTGTTTCCTTGTTAATTAAATTCAATCAAACTGAACAGGAATTTGTTCAAGGAAAGTACCGACTGCTCAGTATGACGCAGAAAGGGACAGTAGCTTGTTTCAAAAGTTACTTGTGATCACATACACAGATCCAGGCTTGTGTTTAAGGATCAAATTATGAAGACAAAACTACTGATTTTGTAATTACTGGAATATATTGATGGTTA